ACCAGGCAGGTTTAGGGTTTAGGGTTTAGGGTACCGCAATATAAGGGGATACTATATTTTCATGGTTATTGCTTATAAGCATCATGATAGCGGGGGCTATAAGGGTTCTGCAAGGGCTTATGGCAAGACGCACTAAAAAGAGTCTTTCTAGGCCATTCTGCAAGGGTTAATATGGGGGCATTAGCAATTTTTTGTATTATTTTGGGGCTTCCTTCTTATAGTTATAGTAGAATACACCCCGAAACCCTAAACCCTAAACCCTAAACCCCCGAAACCCTATTCTAATTATCAAGGCCCCTACGTTACTAGGGCTGTCAAGTGCTTCAGGGGCCTTGGGGCCTGAGGCGCTTGGCGGGCCTTACTTAAAGGATCATGGGACTTAGTAAGTAGGGTTTAGGGTTTAGGGTTTAGGGTTTAGGGTTTAGGGTTTTGGGTTTAGGAGGATCATGGGACTTAGTAAGTAGGGTTATTATTCGGGTAACTATACTTCTAACCCCAATTAAGGGACTTATAACCTTACTTACTAAGTCCCATGATCCTGCAAGTAAAGCCCGGCAGATCGAAGAATCGACAGACAGACAGACAGACCTAGAGACAGAGGCATGTTTCATATAGGGCCGGAAGAGAATAGTACTACTGCCCCTTGTAGCTATCCCCCCCATATTATAGTTGAACTACAATTTGCCCCGAAGCTCTCTTCTAATTATCAACGCCACTCCCTATATAAGATCGACCGCGATATCAATAGGTGGGTATATAGGAGGCATAATCTTCAGCTATTGCGGGGTGGCTTAGCGTGTGGCGTTACCAAAAAACTGTAGAGCTCCAGCTTTCCATCCGCTCCAGTTGTTACAGTACCTATGGTCTCCATTGCAGTTCCTTTTTTGGTTTAACCAATTATATATTCAGGAGTTTATAAGGTATCCCCAAAAAGGAACCACAATGGAGACTATACCCTAAACCCTAAACCCTATACCCTAAACCCTAAACCCTATACCCTAAACCTTTAACCCTAAACCCTAAACGGTGCAGTACCTCCCACATTCTCCCTCTCCCCTGAGCCCTTCGACCCTTTAACCTTGCCTTGATGTCGCGCCCGAGGCCCTGCACCCCTCCTTGGTCCATTCTGAGACCCATAGAAACCTTAAAATGCCCGAAGAACCACAATATATACTATGTGTGTATATATATATATATATGTATATTTATATTTACATTATGTATATGTATATATATATATATTTATAGAAATACACATCTATATATATATATATATCAAGTAACTGGGTCTGGGATTTTATGTAATGATTGGGTACTTGGACCCCTGGGGAATCCTGTTGGGTTCGAGCTCGCTTGAGGCACAGGGACGTCCAAGCTTCAACGACGTCCCTCCTTGCCTGCCTGAATGGAACTCAGTCGTTCCGTCCCATAAACAATGATGTTGAGAAGGAATAGTAGCAAGTAGTAAACGACTTAACATGAGCTGCTGTCCGTGGGGCTCCGACCAGACCCACACAGACATCAAGCTCACGCACGTCGCATTCAGGCAACGAGTACACTAATCCCTTCCAAGAGACTTTGCCGATCTACACTGCTTGTCTGGGTCCGTCGACCCTTGCAACCCCAAACCCTAAACCCCTAAACCCCTAAACCCTAAACCCTAAACCCCTAAACCCCTAAAAACCCCTAAACCCCCAAACCCTAAACCCTTAAACCCCTAGACCCTAGACCCCCAATAATCAGCCCTCAGCCCGGAGCTCTAAGTATAGTCTCCATTGTAGTTCCTTTTTTGGGTTTAACCCATGATATATTAAGGATTTTATATGGTATCCCCCAAAAGGAACTACAATGGAGACTATAGGTAAACCCTGAACCCTGAACTCTAAACCCTAAACCCTAAACCCTAAACCCCTAGACCCTCAGCCTCAGAGCATGATTTTGACAACCACCCAAGTAGACACCGGCCCGCATTTCTGCAGCCAACGCGGCTCCCAAAAATACAACGAAGCCGGCGGGGCACACCGGAGAGCCCGCCGAGTCTGTAGAGGCGTGGTTGGGAAGTATGCCCATAGCACAGGGAAGCTATATTAGGTTATAGTAGCTGTAGCAACTTTTGTTTTCGGGGTTCTGGCTTTTTTTGAGGGCTTGCTGCTGCAAATCAGAACAGGCATGGTCGGTATCTCTGATCTCTCAAGAGTCACAGAGTAGCTGACCCTAGTCACTAGTCAGGAGCGTCTTGTGATTACCTCCTCCCTGGGATGGAGCAGAGTTCAATCACATCATAAGAACAGTGAAGCGGGAATGTAAGTTTTGCCATAGGTATTGAGAGGAGCAAGCACTGAGGCACAAGCAACGACTTGCCGAACAAGTCTAGCAGCTGAGGTAAACGAGTTGGGTTTCTTTGTTTCACACAACGAGGCATCGCTTGGGCTAGGCCGGCCAGGCTAGGCGTAATGGGTTGCTCGAGCATGTTATTCTGCTGTTGTCCAGGCCAGGGCCGCTAAACCAACATCTTAGATGAAAAACGTCGTTGTGGTTTTAGGCATGGTCATGCTGGGAATGGCCGCTTTTTGGGAGGAGAGTGAGACTGAAGTGCGGCGTTACGTTATGCTATGCCCCAAACCCCAAACCGGCTCTCTCTTTGGCTCCGTCTGACCCTCGCTCTCGCTTTCTTTTTGCTCTCTGTCTTTGCCCCCTCTCGCTCACTCTACCTCTCTCTCTCTCTCTCTTTCTCTCTCTTCCTGCCTCTCTCTCCCCCACTCTCTCTCTCTCTTTCTCTTTCTCTTTCTCTCTGTCTCTGTTTCTCTTTCTCTGTGTTTCTCTCTTTCTCTCTTTCTCTTTCTCTCTCTCTCTCTCCCTCTCGCTCTCTCCCCTCGCTCGCGCATTTGTTCACCATCTTGCCGCCTGCCTGGCGCACACTCTCTTTTCCGACTGTGTTTATATATATATATATATACAAAGACACAATTCGTAATATTGAATATCCATCTACCGATCCATCTATCTATCCATCTGTACATGTGTGCATACACGCAGCCATGCAGAGACATAGGTAGACGCAGGCATGTGGATACACGCTTGTGGGTAGTATCTGTCTGCGTGCATGTGTGTTGCCCTGTGTTTTCTGATGCCAGTGGTGCCGACGCTTGGCGAAATTTCACACCTACGCAGGTTTGGGATAAATCGTTTAGGGTCATGACCCCTGGATGTATTGTTTACTGCTCGTTGCACGATGAAGGTTGGTTGCACCAAAGCAAGGGGATCTTCCAAACCCTGAACCCAAAGCAATCTCTTGATGCGTGTTTCGTGAAATCTGCTGCAACTTTCACGTTCTGTTTCCGAGTTCTAGTTTGAAGTAAATTAGGCTTGCTTGCTGAGCTTCTTGTAGCGATGCTGAGGGATAGAACTACCCCTAAACCCTGTAAACCCTAAACCCATAGTGCCTCAGACACCGAAGATTTCATCCCTACAAGGCCCGCAAGCCGGGAAGTCATGTCTGCAGAAGCAGAAGACGTCGAAAAGCAGCCCTTGCTAGCCGAGGCCACGGCATGGGTAGGGGGAGTTGAGGGTGAAGGTGAAGGCATGCAAGGAATATGGCAGCTCCAGCCAAATGAGGACTGCGACATAGCCCTAGATGTTGAATAGAAGGCCTAGGAACAGATCCCTTATGTTCGTAACCCCCTGAAATGTTCGTTGCTTCGGTTCGTAACGAAGCAGAGAATTATCAAGGTCGAGCTGCCCCTCGCGACATTAGATGTCGTGCGGAATGGTCTTCATGGACTCAGCAAGAACATCGTAGAATTTACAATAGTACAAACAACAGGTAATAACAATGACAGCAACAGTAATAGTGGACATAGTATTAACAATATGTAGTAATTTGACTTCCTGGATGGATACTGGTCATCAGAAGGTCGTGCAATAATACGACCCAGTATGGATACTGTAGTAGCAAGCGCTTCAGTAGTAGCGGTGGCAAAAACCGTCCGAGTACGGTTAGATGGCCAGAACATTGTGCAGATTGAACACGATAACATGAAGTCTAACTTTCTACCACTGGTATTCTGAAAAGTAGCAGCTTACTAGCAAGAATGCTGCCATTCATGCAAGTTGTCTTGGCAGCGATCATAAACAGTAGCAGCAATCGAGACGAGAGCTATCACCACTGCCATCATCCCGCCAAGACCCCCAACATCTCCACCTTGCTGTAACCTCTGTAGTAACACTTATAGAACTTTAAACGCCTAAACCGTAAACCCCTAAACCCTAAGCCAGAATCCTAGATTCGACAGACTACCGGGCTCCGTGGCTCCACAGGAGAAACAGGCCAAGGAAGATGAGATCCAGGAGACGTCCGGTAGGAATGAAAGCTGCTTCTATAAGGTTGGGGCTTTAGGGTTTTAGGGTTTGCGGTTTTACTATGAAGGCTACTACAAGGGCTCCTATAAGGCTAGGACTTTAGGGCTTTAGGGTATTGGGTTTTGATGAGAGCTTTTGCAAGGGCTTCTATCGGGTTGGGATTTCGTGGTCTAAGGTTTCTATCAGGTTGGGGCTTTGGGGTTTTAGGATTTCGGGTTTCGGGGTCTCGCAGAGTTTTGACAAAGGTGTTGCAGAGGGGTTCATCAGTGGTTTTGTCTCCAAGGTTTTAATTGTGGGAAAGACGCTACAAGGGTTGTTATATAGGTTTAAGATAGGGGATTTCATGGGAATGGTGATGGATATACAGTATACATATACCCCTATACATACATACATATATATATATATATACACACATATACGGTGGCTTTGTAGTAGTCAGGGATCGAGGATTTAGGGTTTTTTCGGAGGTTTAGGGTCTCAGGGTTTGGTCAAGGGTCCAGGATTGAGGGTGTAGGATCCGAAGTTTAGAAGTTGAGGGCTCAAGGTTCAGCCCTTAATAAATCGAATTGGGTTTGGGGGTTGATGATACTAGAATCATAAATAAGGAACCCCCCAAAGCCCTATTCTGATTATTAACGCTCCTGCATTATCAGGATCCATGGTTTCGGGTCCAAGAGTCAGGGTTCGGCGATGGCAGAAGAGTTTTCAGTGTGGAGACCTGTGGGTAGTCAGACCGTCGGAATGTAATGGGTTCCCGTTTATGGCTCACGGCAAGGTCATGATGTAGACTCTATTGTTGTGTACGATCTATGCACTGAACCTGGCTGCAGGAGGAAGTGGATGACTCAATGTCCTACGATGCGCGGACTCTTGGTTCCGCATGTTTTGCCAGCTTGGTCCATGGTTTCTGAGGTGTTTATGGTGTTTTGGAGTCCCCGAAGCCTAAGCCCTAAACCCTTTGTAAAGCCCTAAACCCTAAACCCTAAACCCTAAACCCTGCCCTTCAAATCTTGAAGTTTCGGACTCCATTAGGCGGACGGAAAAAGGCGTTCAACAAAAAAAACCTACCCTTCGTCTTCAACCAGTACAGTGCTTCGATACGCGGAGTCGCCCCTGAGGTTCACGCCAGGCCCCTCTCTTGTCGAGGCTCAAGGCTATGCAAGCAGATCTCCTAAGGACGGAATGTTGTAGGGTTTGGGTTTGAATATGGGTTTCGGAATGAAATCCGAAGCAGCTCTTCGTCCCGCATGGCTTCTTTATAGCATCAGCGACAGTCTGGAGACTGCTTCGAAGCCTTCAGCGAAGGTTCAGACCCATATTGAAGGTTTATGGGTTTAGGATTTCGGGTTCAGACCCTTAGTCCGTCTTTGTTGCGCCGAGGAAGCTGATCACCTTTGACGTGCTGCGCGCAGCCACGGGGACGATCTGGGTGAAGGCCTGTGCGGAACTCATGCCAGAAATACAAATACCATTGGTAGTTCATGTCAGTTCAGATTGCAGATCGGCCTCGTGAAGTTTAGTTCGGCTGTGAGTGGAGGATCTGTGTATGCCTAGACTTAGACAGCGCTACGGCCGACACAGTATTGATGAGAGCAGTGACCCACATCGGGACTCCACACATGCAGAAAGGATTGTCTTGTTATAATGTCTGCTTTCCCTCTCGCGATGACATAGACGCGGGGCAGACCTGCAGCATCGAGCGGAAAGTCAAAGTCCGTGTTCATGCTGGTAAGATGAATCACCCTACCAGCTTAATCAGCACCGCGGTAGTTACACAAACATAGAGCCTTGAGCTGTGCCCTAACCCTCCAGGTACCTACTATATAGGGTACTAGAGCCCCTAAGGCCCTATATAGTAGGGCCCTTGAGGGTTAGGGTGTGGCCTGTGGCAGCATCATCGCTGCAGCGTGAGGATAGCAGTCCCCACGGACGACAGTACTTAAAGGATCATGGGACTTAGTAAGTAGGGTTTAGGGTTTAGGGTTTAGGGTTTAGGGTTTAGGGTTTAGGGTTTAGGGTTTAGGGTTTAGGAGGATCATGGGACTTAGTAAGTAGGGTTATACTTAAGGTAACCATACTTATAACCCCAATTAGGGGACTTATAACCTTACTTACTAAGTCCCATGATGATCCAAGTATGTAGCCGATGGCTGTCGCGAGGAAAGGAGAGCTTCATGGCTTTTCGGCGGGAACTAGTCTCCATTCTAGTTCCTTTTTGGGGGATACCTTATAAAATCCTTAATATATAATTGGTTAAACCAAAAAAGGAACTACAATGGAGACTATAGGTAGTGGCAGAGTTCGTACCTTTTGGTCCCGGCGGCCACACGCCAGCACATCGTTCAGGCAACAGTCTGCATGCCGTCATGCGGCTCATTCCAAGTTTGCTCTTCAGCTCATCGCAGAAGGCTTCTTTCGTAGGGTCTCCGGGCGACGATCCACCAAGCATTTCCAACTCTGAAGGAACGAGAGAAGGCTCTGTTGAGCGGCTTCTTGAAGCAAAGATCCGTGTATTTTATGCACCGTTAAACAGAGCAATAGATGCTAGAGACCAATCATTGGTTGCCTTCACTGATCGGCTATGCTGCTATGCTTTAAGTTGCATGCAGGGACGACTCGCGCGGTGAAGGAAGCCACTGCGCACGGATTTGTTGGAAGTCAACCTTGGGAAGAGCAATATCGGTGGGATTCAGTCCTTTGATAAGCGACATGGCTAATCCCACAACACGGAAACACTGCAACCGAGTGCTGCCAGGGATCTTTGTGGAAGATGATGGGTATGCTGCTGCTCGTTTCCGTGGTCACGGCCGTCGGGGTGTTTGTCTTGGTTGGCCAGCCGGAAAAGTCCCTTGGCATGCAGGGGTCTGTTACCTATAGTCTCCATTGTAGTTCCTTTTTTTGGTTTAACCAATTATATATTAAGTTTTTTATAAGGTATCCCCAAAAAGGAACTACAATGGAGACTATAGTTAGTACATCTTGAAGGACATGTGACGTGCCCTGCTTCTAATTGCACAGTTCCAGGCATTGCTTGTGATGTAGTGACGCTGACACTGCTGGCTGCTATTGGTGGAGGTCATGGCTAAGGCATGGATCATTACGGCGATGCTGAAGAAGAGAATTATTCTGAAGATGATAGTGAGAGTCAGCGATAGTAACGGAGATTAGTAGCAGTAGTAGCAGTAGCAGTTGCAAGAACAACTTCTTCCTTCCATCGTTACAGGAACCCCTATGCGTACTGAATGTTTGTCCATGCCCTCTTAGGTGCTGAATTGCCCGGAGGGCATAAGTAAACATTAAAGTAGTTTAAGTAGTTCATTGCGGCTGGCCGATGTTTCGAGTAGTGGACAAGTACAGGGTTGAAGGACGCGGGGTTAGGGCTTAGGGAGTTTCGGGCTGATTATGATGACGGCGGCGATGACGATGAGGAGTCGGGCAATAGCAGAACAGCTCTCAGGATGTTTGCATGGTTGCCCTGTGCCCTCATCCCGCACAGCTACACGGAAGTCACGGTAGGGTTTAGGGCCTTGTCTGAACATCAAGGCTGGAAACCTCCAAGTACAACAAGCTCACCACATTCCTGAGACTTGCCCTCTTGCGATTTCTTTCAGGAGCCGAGCTCGGGGGTGCGTCAGTGCGTCTATAAGGGTGCTCAGGCTTGAGGCAAGGGCGTGTCGTGGTCCCACGACATGTCTTGACAGGGCAGACTGAAGAATGCGAACCTTCGGATGCAGGTAGTGACTAGTGGGATTGGGCAGGTGCGCTTTGCGGGGGTGGAGTGTCTTAGCCTTCGGCTTCCAGCTTTAGTGGAGCCATGGGCCTTACGTCAAGAGCCCAAACATGATCAGACGTTGTGGTATACCAGGGCTTAAGCTGGAAACGTGCAGATTGGCGTTGATTGCGCCGATGGCCCTGAACTGCTCGGCTTGATGCTTAGAATGCAGTCCCGACACGATCCCACACCCCAACCCCGATCTGTCTGTTGCTGATTCTATCCTCATTGTATCCAAGGAAGGCTATCGTGGGTTTGCTTCTTGGTTTCTTCCTCTCTTCATCGGTGAATCGCTGGCGGCCCGGCACGGAATAGGCCTGTGCCATGGTTCTCGCGGCTTTGGGCGTCCACTGCTATCACAGCAGGCGAAGCAGCTTCAGTAGAAACGAGTCCAAAAACAGCAAGCTCTGAATAGGAACATGGTGACGAGAGAGAAGGAGCGAGAGGACAAACTCAGAAAAGCTTCGGGAAACACGTAGCTTCGTACGACAAGCCCGGAACCAGTGTGACACGTAAGCGAGTGAACAAGACTTATGAGAATACTCATTCTCCAAGATGCATCTTCCCCGGGGTATTGTCATATTTTGCTTTTGTCTTCGATGAGGGCTTCGGGAGCGCTGGTTGCGACCGCGGGCTCTGTGGCGCTTGAAGCTCTAACTCTAATTGAGCTCCCTGAACACGATTACGAGGCCTCAGCCTCCTACTGGACATCTGCTGAGCGCAGCCTGATCATACACATTTGAAACTTTCGCGCTTACCTTGCTTGGTCATAAAATCGTTTGAGGCTCGTTTTTAGAGTATGATGCATGTGTATGGTGCTGTTCACGCATAGTAGTGTACATGCACATGGGGTGTTCCCCGTTGGGGGGGTGTGTTGATATAAAGCGGTAGTAGCGTAGATCGCCGTCTGTAGCCAATCGCAAACAATGCACCCTCAGTCCTAAACTCTAAACTACCCTAGACCCTCCTGCCCATAGGCCCCATAGTAGTTCCTTTTTGGGGTAACCTTATAGGGTTCTGAATATGAACCCCGAAAAGGAACTACTATGGGGACTAGACCCTGAGGTATGCCTGTACATGCGGATTCCTAGAGCTCTTCACGGCCATCCGCGGACTCCACATGCAGCTGGCTGCCATGGGCCACTCGTCGTGAGTTTCTTTCTGCATTCTTTGAGAAGCAAAGCATCAAAAAGGGGTTGATGATTCAGGCTTCAAATATAGGGGCCTTGATAATTAGAAGAGGGTTTTGGGGCCTACTATTTTATAAATATATTACGGAGCCCCCAACAATAGCATTGGTAATTAGTAAGGCCCTACATTAGGCTGAAGGCTGTAGGCTTATGCTTCCCTGACGGCTGTACAGATTGGAATGACAGCGTTCGGGTTGTCGGTTTCAGAATTTGTCCAGTGAGAAGGGCTGCAGCGGAATACTACGAATACCTTCCTTGCAGCCAATGCACGCATCCTATGACCTTGTGGTGGTAGTAGTGGTAGTAGTAGTAGTAGCAGTAGTAGTAGTAGTAGTAGCAGCAGCAACAGCATATAAGTAGTAGTCGTAGTAGCTGGAACCAGTAGCAACAGCAGCAGCCGTAGCAGTACTTGGCTTGGATGTCAGTCTAAGGACTTTAGGTATTAACCCCAATAACCTACAAGGGTCCCTATTAAGGGTAAACCCTAAACCCTAAACCCTAAACCCTGACTCAGGTGCGCCGAAGGATCACATTCACATGGTCGTTCGCTACGCTGTGGTCTCTGCCTGCAGCCATGGCCTCAGCTCTGAGAAGTGTTTCTTCAGTATGTATATATAAATTTCTATATGTATATATATATATATATATATACATATGCATACATACATATATATATATATATATGTAGGTGTGTAATGCACATACTGAAATTCCAAACATGAGTATAGATATATACATACATACATACATACATACATACATAAATAAACAATATATATATATATATAATATTGGTGCAGCGTGGTTGTGGGTTGAGTGACTATAGGTGTAGGCTGAGGGTCATAGTGCAGCTGTTTCGAGAGTTGTGTTGATTCATAGGATCCTGCCTTTATGGTTCAGGCCATTGCTCTTGCAGCCGCTTGCTGGTGCCTTCCATTCACCCGAATCCTGAAACTACTAAAGCCCAAACCCTGAACAAGCCAAGCCCCGGAACTCCAAACTCCTGAACCCCTAAACCCTAAACCCCTAAACCCTAAACCCTAAACCTTGAAAGCCTCAAATGCTTCGCTGTTCGATTCTTGGTATCAGCTCTCTCACCGAAGGCCTTCAGTTCTCGCTGCAGATGCAGACGCTCCCGAGTGAAGAGCGCACGGCCTTCAAGGAGAAGAAATGGGCCGGACGCCCAGGATCTCCGAGATCAGAAGTCAATGGCTTCAAATTCATGAAATCAGGTTTTTGGGGTATGCTATAGACCGTTATACTCTACTGATAAATGGTGACTCTAGGGGAAGACGATTAGCAGTATTAATGTGGAAGTTGCGTAAACCATAAAGCAAAGCCCGTATGCTCCAAGGTCTATTCAAAACTCGAGGGCTAAGTTGGGCTCTGTTGGAACAAAGCTATGTATTGCAGCCTGTTTTGTTCGGGGGCACAAGAGTTCGGTACAAGTGCCAGCGAAGGCTCCTAAACCCTGAACCCTAAACCCTAAACCCCGTGATCTATAAAAAAGAAGCTGGAGAGCAATGCACGCTTTCTGGCCGTGTGTGGCCGCTATGCATCTAGAAGCCTCAAACCCTCCAAACGTAAACCCTAAACCCTCAACGACCCGTGCACCTTTAACCCCGTGGAGCCTTAGGGTCATCACTCCGGTAATTAGAATTTCCCCGTTCCTCTCACATGACCGGGTCACTGGTTTGTTGCATCCTCGTTTCTCAAGCGTAGACCACGAAGAAAAACGGCAAGAAAGTGAGCCCTAGACCTTGAAGAAGCTCTACAGCACTGTAAGACATCCCCAGCCTGAGTAAACCCTAAACCGTAAACTCCGTAAACCCTTATTAACCCCTAACCCTAAATCCTAAACCCAAACCATAAATGAAGCATCGAATCCTCAACCCCAAGTCACCTCAACCTGAACCCCGGACACGTTCGAAGCCACGCCTGGCACTACACGACACTTGCGAGGTCTCGGGATTTTTAGGGTTTTAGGGTTTTAGGGTTTTAGGGTTTAGGGTTTAGAGTTTAAATAATAACGACGAGACACCACAGGTCATGTTGAGTTGTAGATAGTTGCTGATGTCTCTGCGAGACTGGTCCAGATCAGGGTCTCCTATGAAGAGCTGTAGCAATCCATAAGCTTTTGAAAAGGGTGCACTAAAGCCAAGTGTAAGTAAAATAAATCTGCCTAAGCAGGTTCACATGCATATTTAGATGATCATGCATCGAAGATGATATTTAAATGATCCCTTCAAGCAGAACGGGCTGATGCTGCGTGGCAAGGCTTCTCTCCTCCACGAGGGAAGCTTGGATTCGGGGACGTTGACGAGTGCGACGGTGGCCAGGATCTACAAGGAAGAGAAGGACGGAGAGCTGGTTTTGAAGCCTTTCATTGGCTTTCAAGCTTGGGGCGGAATTCTAGTTGGCAACGGGATTCAGAAGGTTTCATAAGCATTACTGCCATCATCCCCAACGGCTCGGAATGCTTCAGTTTGAGCGTAGTACGGGGTTTCGCCTGTTTCGGAAGGGTGTCCTTCTTTCGCTTGTCGTGGTTCGGTTCAGTTTGGAAGGGCCCTGTGACTCCTGCGAGGCAGTCCTGGACGAAGTTGAGGATCCTTCTCAGACTCTTTGGGTATGGGCCGCATGGCCGGACAGAAGCCACATCTGCAACTACACAAAGAACAGCAACGACACGAGCCCCGGGGAACTAAGAAGGAATTGCATGTGGTCAAAGGTGAAAAGCGTCAAATGGCGCGTTGCAGACGCACCTATGGGAAGCAATAGCAGCAGTAGCAGTGGCAGTGGCAGTAGCAGAGCGGCAGTAGGAGTAGGAGTAATGTGAGGGTCTGATTGATCTGGGGGTCCCCCCGCCCCCTCCTCCCCCCCCACAAAAAAAAAAAACAAAAAAACAACGCAGCGACACGACAGCGTGATTTTTCAGGGCTCGGGCGGTGAAGGAATGCTGCGCTATGCCCGGTCCTGGCGGACGAAGCCTAGAAGTAGAAGCAGTGCCCAAATCGCCCGGCCGGCCCGGGAAAGGTCACATGATTGGGTACTCCCAGATCTTTTCAACTATTGGGGTCCAAAGGGCCTGCTGAACATTGATGGCTGGCCTGCCGGCATAAGCGTTTTAGTAGGGACCCTAGATGTCTGGCCTGAGGCCAGGCCCATCCGGGCCTCATCCAAAAGCCTCGCAATTGGGCCCTTGAAGCTTTTATTGTGTTGCTTGGGAAGCCCAAAATGGGTCGGGAAAACTCTTTTTATGTGGTCCCCACAAAGCAAATACTGTCGGGGTTTATTCTCAAGACTCTTTTCGAACTTTTTCTTTTACAATTTACAGGGGTCCCCCACACTAAACAGACACCCACGTTAATTTGGAGTAGGAGAAGAAGTAGAGGGAGGCAGAGTATCGTCGTAGTGGTATTGCTAGTGCTACTTCCAGTTCCAGTGGCAGTGCCAGCGCTAGTGCTAGTGCAGTGGCAGTCCTGGCGCTGGTGCTGGTGGTGGTGGTGGTGGTGGTGGTGGTGGCGCTGGTGGTGGCGCTGGTGGTGGCGGCGCTGGTGGTGGCGGTGCTGGTGCTGGTGGTGGTGGTGGTGGTGGTGGTGGTGGTGGAGAAGCAGTAGTAAAAGTAGCAGCAGCAGCAGCAGCAGCAGCAGCAGCAGGAGTAGTAGTAGTAGTAGTAGTAGTAGTAGTAGATGTAGTAGTAGTAGTAGTAGTAGTAGTAGTTCTTCTGGACATGGGAAACTGATCGGGCCTTCATACATGTTGTTGACGTACAGCACCAGTTTGCCCGAATCCACTTGTTTTATCCTCAAGCCCGAACCCTACAACTAGAACCCACACCCAGACTCTACATCGATCCTTAACTTTCAACTCTACAGAAGACCCTAAATCTCAGGTCACCTCCCTGCTCACGAACATGTCGGCCAATGGTGAACTTCCGCCGATCCCCAGCCCGACGTATGGCAAGATCCTCTCTTGGGCTGACAAGGCTCGTGATGCATGTTGAACTGTGCATCCCTATCGGCTTTCACCTTTGCTTCGCTACCACTTACGTACCCAATACTGCAGGGCGGAGGATTTGGTACATACGAGGCCACACAGCCAGGATTTCGGTAATTCGCGCTCCGAAATTGCAATCATGTGGAAGAATCACGTTGTTGATGGCGAGTTGAGAAAGTGGGGCTTAAGGCCCTCTGAGGTGGTAGAGTAGCTACGGGGCATGTCCTCGATGCATCGACAGATGGGAGTTGCACATACATATATAGACAAATATGTCAGCAAAGAAAGGGAGAGAGAGAGAGAGAGTGGAAGAAGAAAGATTTGTGTATACTTGTATGTGTATATATATGTATATACACATACACACATGCACATGTGCGGATACATATGTGTGTGTGTGTATATATATATGTATTTGCATACACATATATATATATATATATACATATGCGTGTGTGTCTGGTCATACACACATACACAAACACATACAGACAGACATACATACATAGATACATACATATATACATACATACACTAAGCGACTAAGCGACATCCAGTATGCCACTGCTGAAGTCTCAGTAATTAGTTGCATTGGAGCACTCCGCAAGAGCACTTGTGACTGACGACAAAAGGCGGCTGTGTCGCATGTAAACCCCAAAGCTGCAACCCTTAATTTTGAACATGTCCCCAGTAGGGTTTAGGGTTTAGGGTCGTCCGACAAGTGGTCCAGGCCTACAACGGCATCCGCGAGGTGTTGGCTGAGGGGAGTCACGAGGGTCATTGCGGCTTCAGGGTCTTCAGGGTTCAATATGTTGGTTTTTAGGTTTAGGGTTTTAGGGCTGAGTGGCACTATGTCCTTGCGGTCTTGCTCTCTCGCACTCTGGAGCAAGCACTCGCAGCGCAAACCACAGATGGAAGGTGCAGGCGGCAGTGTGCGTCCAGCCGCCGTATGTGTATGTGCAGATGATGGCCATTCTTGTCCTTGTTCCCACCTCAGTTTCGACCAGTTTTATGCAGCGCACCTCTCGCAGCTCTTCGTCTCTTTGAGGTGAACAACCTCATGATTGCTATAAGCTTCGGCATGACCCTGGGAGTCACTATCAGTTTGGCCGGGCTCCTACCGATGTCGGGCAGTTGACATCATTTCATCGGTTTCGGCGCGGGACTTTTCGTGTCAACTCGGCTGCTCAAGGCCAAGCGTGGGCGCCATACAGCCACTCCTGAGGTTATCTCCAAGGAGCTCCGTGGAATTGCGTGACATCTTCGTTGATGGATTCGGCATGTCTTGTAAGAGCCTGCGGCCTCCAGAGGAATCGCTACCACTTGACATGCAGAATTAGTGTGGAGTTTGGAGTGGTGGCGACAGGTTCCAGGGCCCTCGAGGACGCTTCCGATTGCTGTCCAGTATGCTGGCTGCAGGACTTGCAAGATGTTGCCATCGCGTTTCTCATCAGTGCGCCAGTGTTGCACCAGACCTCAATCACCTACTCGCTTAAACACCCAACTGGCTCAAACACAACACAAACACACTTGCGCGCACACGGGAGAGAGAGGGAGAGAGAGAGAGAGAGACATGCACACAATCCGACACGTCGACTGCTACCTCCGCGAATTCTGCTACCTCTGCTTCTACCATGTTACTACTCCTACCATCTCTATGACTCTATGGTCAGACATCTCAACATCCTCAACTAGCAGCAGCATGATCTCACAGGTACAGTCGGACCTTTCCTATACCATGCACTGCTCGAAGTGGCCGTGTGCATTGCGCAGCCCTTTGCAGGCCTTTCTCAAGCGGCGCTTGACCGAGAAGCATTTGAGGATGTATTGTCCTTCATAAACATGTTTCAATCTCAACCTCAGCATGGGGAGGGGCATTGTATTTTTCTCTGAGTGAGTTGGGATTCAAGGGCCAGCAATGCGGATCAGCTTCGGCTGTCTGTCCCGCCAGGTAGGTGTGCTGCAGTTGCAACGCCCGTTAAAGTCGAATCGGATACTGTCAAAGGGAGCTCCTAACAGTCCTAACATCTCCAACTCCCGGCAAAACCAAAAGCAACACTTGGAGACTAAGTGCTGGACCTAAACGCGAAGCCTCTGAAAACTTAGACCCCAATCCCAAAACAGGCTTGTTGTCAAAGCCCAAAAGCTGTGAATGCTAACCCCCCCCCCCCTAAAACGCCCGAAATTCTAAACCCTATCCCCTAAACCCTAACCCCCAAACCCTAACCCCTAAACCCTCACCCCCCCCCCCGCCCCTGAAACGCCCGAAAATCCCAATCCCAGAGTCACAGAAACCCAAACGTCTCGGCCAGGCTGCGAGGACGAGGATGAAAACATGCCCGGCCGCATTCCGACCAAGAAACTTCTGAACATCCTCAAGAAGGAACTTAACAGATCATGGGACTTAGTAAGTAGGGTTTAGGGTTTAGGGTTTAGGGTTTAGGGTTGAGGAGGATCATGGGACTTAGTAAGTAGGGTTATAATTAGGGTAACTATACTTATAACCCCAATTAAGGGGCTTATAACCTTACTTGCTAAGTTGGAATTTAGGGTTTAGGGTTAGGGTTTAGGGTTCAGGGTTTACCTAACCCCCCCCCCCCAAAAAAAAAGTAGGTAAACTAATGGCCCCAAAGAAGGAAGGGCCTTAGTGTTTAGGGTTTATGGGCCTTAGGGCTGACCTAACCCCCCCAAAAAAGTAGGTAAACTAATGGCCCCAATCCTATAAAAGGGCGATGATTCTACCATACTTTTGGGGGTCCAGGCCTCTGGTTGCTGGAAAAGGGGAAGGGCTGAAGGTCTGGCCTTCAGGGTTTGCAGTTCTGGTGGGGACTGCAGTGGACTGCTCGAGGGTTTAGGGTTTAGGGTTTAGGGTTTTAGGGGCTTGAACAATGAGGAAATCATCCCCGCGGCGTTCCCTATTATACCCATCGAGGTCTCGACTCTTGTAAGCTTGGGCGCGAACTTTTTTGAGCCTGAATTCACACTGATTAGATCCCAGTATGCACGCTCCTGTTGAACTCGGAACCACTAACCCAACATCCCGAATTTTGAACCCCAAAACCCCAAAGCCTAGAATCCTAGAGCCCAAGCCCTGGACCTCACACCCGAACCCTCCGAAACCCTCACCCCTAAACCAAAACCCAGACCCTACGTCCGAACCCCTAAACAAAACCTAAACAGCTTGGTCAAGCCGCACTTGTTATTGAGGGCTTTTTCGGGTTTAGGGTTTACCTAGAGCTGGTCTTCCAACCTTGGCGGCTATAGTAGCGTATCACTTTTTTGGGGGGCGCCTGCAGCAACTTTGCGAGCGGAGCCCTGAGGAGCAGGTGAATCGGGGTTTAGGGTTTAGGGTGAGAGTCAGATGGTAACGTAGATGCCTTAGATAATCACCTATACTATTGCGGCGGTTTCTTATTATAATTGAAGCACAGTATACCCCAAAATCCTATTCTAGTTATTAAGGCCCCCTACATTACTCGTAGGCCGCTTTAGGCTCCGGGCGCTAGGACCCCAGGTTTGGGGTCGGACTCCTTGAGTGCAGAGATCGGCCACTACCTGATCTGATTTTTTAGGCATGCCTGAAAACCCTAAACCCTAAACCCTAAACCGTGGTACTGGGGCAGGATTCTTGAGACATGCGGGTCTCTGAAACTTGGCGGTATTGAGAGCCCGTTGTCCGTAAGCCTAAACCCCAAACCGAATATCCCCCTATCTGGGCTTTGGAAAATCGGGTCCTCATCTTCTCAAGCTCCCCTATACTTCCTGCTTCGTGGTTGCCCCACTTCCCATGGCACAGTTTCCTTGTGCTCAATGAAAGGTAGGCTTGCTAAGCTGCCTAGGGTTCCTTAACTCAACTACAGTATAGTGTACCCCAAAGCCCTAGTATTAATTGTTAGATATTACCCTGCCGCCGTGAACCCTTTGAAGCGTGCCGGGACGCCGAAGCCGGAAACAGGACCTCGCAGACGCTGAGAAGATGACCTGCAACCTTCCGGCTTGGAAGCAGCCGCAGTTCCAAGCTCCTAAGTGAGCCCTGTGCCCACGTGGAGACACAGTTCAGAGCTTTGGGGTTTGCGTGGCCTAGGGTTTCTGGCTTTCGGGTTGACGCTAGATAGTGACAAGCTCCTATTTCTGGCCTTGTTGTTAGTTACAGCATCCACAGGCTAGATTCGCTAGATGTTGCGTTTGGTGACTGGTGCAGGTTTGCAACGAGCTGTCGGTCGTGAACTCAACTCAAGCCCCGTATCTCTAACTGAGGGTGATGGAGTCTTGAGTATGACGCGGTTGATTGATCACGAGTTATGTGCAGCTCATTTGCCAGCCAATGTGGGCCGTGTGTAATTCTTGCTTGTAATTGTGTTTGGAATGCCTGTGTTCGGTTTGGTCGTCTGGGCCCATCGCGATGCTAACTAGGGAGCAAACAGTATCAGTAACAGCAGCGGCAGCAGCAGTAGCAGTAGTAGCAGTAGTGGTTAGTATCTAGCAGTAGTAGTAGTAGTAGTAGTAGTAGTAGTAGTAGTAGTGGTAGTAGTAGTAGTAGTAGTAGTAGTAGTAGTAGTAGTAGTAATGGAATTAGAAGTAGAAAAGAAGAAGTAGTTGTGGTAGAAGTAGCAGTTGTAGCAGTAGGCACCTTGATAGTGTATAAGTACCGGCAGTGCAGTAAAGTGAATCCCAGAAAGTTAAAACATGGATTTAGGATGATTAGTGCTGGGACTTCCTCTTAAAGGCATGAGCATAATGCTGTTCCAACTTTCTGGCTCGTACTGTAGAGTGTGAACAGACATTGTGCAGTTAAAGCTGCCGGCGAGACTACGTTTGACGGTCTTCACGAGTTGGGCACCACAGCAGCTGTTGTGGGGAGTCGACGGTGCGCTTGGTTCTGTGTTCTATAACCATGCCATACGACTGAGACGTCCTCACATTGGAACCATAACGCTGGCGAAGATCTTAGTCTTCTAGGATCAAATCCCGTGGCCGGGGTTGTACTCGGCTATGCATGCATCAAGCATGAACTGATGAAAGCATGCCATCCTCAGTCCTTGCGCCCATCGCTGACTGCACCACAGACTGGCAGCAATGGTTCACATCCACAGCCTGAATCGTCGAAATTGTGTCACAAAAAGCTGGCTACGACATGTTCCGAGAGGAAGATCGTGTCCGTTCTGACGCTTCGTGAATCCAACGGCACCCTGGGTTCCAGAGACTGTTGCTTATGCTGCAACCTTTGGCTAATGATACACAACATTTTACCTCTGTTCAAAGCCGGCCTGTCTGCCCTAGCCCTGTGATTCTGCATGAACCTAGTTGCAGTATGTTTCTACATGCTACCGCAAGTGACCATGTGCAGGTTAGATGAGGGCCTTATGTACAAGAGACATGGAAGTCTATCTGGTCATTCGTTTTTCTATCTTAGTACCTTTCTACCTGCCTATCTATCTATCTATCTATCTATCTACCTATCTATCTATCTATCTATCTATCTATCTATCTATCTGCCTATGTATCTGTGTATCTCTCTTTCTCTCTCTCTCTCTCTCCATAAGTATAATTGTGTAAATATGTTTGTATTTATTCATATAGATCGGTAGATCGATCGATAGACAGACAGATCGGTAGATAATAGATTGATAGATAGATAGATAGATAGATAGATAGATAGATAAATAGAGATCGCTGTTATGGCTCCGTGTAGGGTTCGGGTTATGCAGCTATATTGACACTAGTTAGTTCACAGGTCTTCAGATGTTTTCGGGGGGACTGAGAATCCTGGACAATCCTAAAACTCTGAGGCCCATGCCAATTTGTCAGGATTTTGACGGTTTAGGGTTTAGGGGTTTAGGATATTGACAAAAACTTGTAGAAAACCCGATAAGCCGTGCATATCCCTTCTTGCAATCCGCTTGACATGTTCAGACAGTTTAGTGAACTCCCGAAGCCCTAAACCCTGAAACCCCAGAACCCCCCAAACAAAACCTAAATTTCAACTCCTGACGCACCAAACCCGAAAAACCCTAAACTCCGAAACCGATAAACCCTAAACCCCACAACCCTAAACCCCGAAACCCCAAACCCTCAACCCGAAAACCCTAATCCAAACCTCGTCCCGGGGAACCTTGGGAGAAACCCTAAACCCTAAACCCTAAACCTCGTCCCGGGGAACCTTGGGAGCCTCATCCGCTTGTCAGGGCAGTTCATGGCCTAGCTCAAGACCTCCTTCGGCAAGCCCTGCCCTAAGGGTTTAGGGTTTAGGGTTTAGGGTTTAGGGTTTAGGGCTCCAAGTATACAAACACTACCTTTATTGGGGAGTCTAAACCCTAAGCCCTGAATCAGCTAGATAATCGTGTCTACCTCTTTGCTATTTGGAGTGTTAGGGGTGAGTTTTTTTTGGCTACGGCGGCCTCAGATGCTAGAACAGGGTTCGGGGGTATGTTACAGTTTTAGTTATAAAGAGGAACCGGTAGGGAATTTAGGATTCTACAAAAGTGTTTACAGACTCTAGCGTTTTAGGGTTCAGGCATCTTACGGCTTGGCATTTAGGGCTTACAGTATTGGTTGGAGATGTAGGCTTTGTGCTTTAAGGCTTCTTACTGCAGTGCACGATGATTTAAACAGCCAGTTTAACAGTCTTATGCACAGTACATATAGACCTTGAGTATTCGGACGACTGTTATGCATAATACATGCACGCCATGTCTCTGAACCGACATCCCGTCATTTCTTTCAAAAACAGACCGCACCAATCATTGGAAAACTCAGCGACTGCGTGTCGCGGTGAAGGAATGTGAAGGTGACCCTTGTGTTGCACTTCCCTCTTTCCTTTGCCAAGCTTTGGGACATGGCATGGCTTGCTCGAGTTTGAGATTAGGAAATTTCAGGTTGATAAGACATACTGCAGTGGCTGAGAGGTTTCATTCTTGTGATTGGTTTGTATGTGGCGCGGTGAATTTGGTGCGAAAGGGAAAGTGCAGCAGAATTCACCCAGATGGCCCTGAGACGTCTGGGGTTCCCTTAAAACTCTGAACACTGTGAGCGATTCTCGGCATTGAGCAACATTCATGTTGCCCTCTGCCCCACCCACCCTCACCGAACTAAAAGACACCGGTAAGCAACATTCTACCTAGACATAAAGCATGAACCCCCCGAACCCCGACCCCTACTAAGAACCCTAAGCCTTCAGATAGAGTTCACCGAGGTTCAGTACTTCAACAAGCTGTACCCGCTGGCTTACATCTTGTTGCTCTCGGGCCTCGTGTCGGCTGCAGGATGCTCATCGCACTTCCAGGGCCTGGGGTCTGGGTTTAGGGTTTAGGGTTTAGGGGTAGAAACTTGAGTGGTTTAGGGTTTAGGTTTAGGGTCATGCCTTCAAGTACCACAACCAATTGGTCTATAGGTCCTTAACTATAAACCCGAATATGAAGTTCATAGGGACCCTACACAAGAGGCAGGTTGTTCTAGAGGTCCTTATTATACACCCTAATATGGAGTTCATAGGGACCCTGCAAAAAAGGCAGGTTTTGACAGGTTAAGGTATCTAGACCCTTAAATGTAGTACTTTTTGTCGGATGACCTGCGTTATGGTTAGGATCCCATGATAAGAAACGAAGGAAACCCAACAGAAGAACTACATTTCAAGGGTCCAGGTAGTGCTTCTGAGAGTTCCTGATAGGCGGGGGGGTCGTCTTGGGATGGCTTGGGGCATGTGTGTTCCCGTGGGGCTGGGTTTGGGTTTAGGGGTTTGGGGTTTAGGGGTTGAGGGGTTTGGGTTTAGGGGTTTAGGGTTTAGGATTTGGGGTTTGGGTTAGATGTCACCGGGGTCGCGGGTTGGGATCAGTTCGGGAGCTAGGATTTCTGGTGTAGGCCTGCGTTGCCAGCAAGTTCCTTTTTTTCTGATAGGTCTCATGCAGATAGGTTCCTCTACTAGGTTCCCCAGTAGTACCCTTTTGCCCTTTTTCTTATGGGGTTCCCTTATTACAACCAAATAGTAGGAAAAAGGGTACCTTTATTATTAAGGGGCTACTGGGGAACCTAGTCTACAAGGCTTGTATCTGTTCGATACAGGTCATCCAACTGGTTGAGGGTTCAGCGGATGAAGGGGCTCGAACACGCGAAAGCTGGTTGCTAAAGCATGTACAGTTGAGAGTTTCAATTCTACCTATAGTCTCCATTGTAGTTCCTTTTTGGGGATACCTTATAAAAGCCTTAATACATAATTGGTTAAACCAAGAAAAGGAACTACCATGGAGACTATAGGTAATCCAGATTGAAGGCCCTTGATAAATGAGGCCCTTTCCTGTAACGGCTTTAGTGTCAGGATTCCAATATTATCCGCTGTAGAATCCTGATTAAGGGACGAGCGGATGAGTAACAATGAAAAATATTCTTGGGTGTACATGATGCTTCACTGAGCTGTGACATGTCGCTACTCACAATCTGAGAAGAAGCGGTCTTTGTGGTGCTGAGGTTTGTGAGTGCATGGTGCTCCTCAGTCTAATCTTCGTGCACCACTTCCCCTCCATGCCCGCGCGAGCCTCAATGTCTTAGAAAAAACCGACATCGAAAGCAGGGCGCGATGTCTTGCTAGAAGATAGTGTCAGCGCGATCTTCAAGGGTACATTGTATAGCGTTTGTTGATTTTGGAATGTCGGGCACAGGGTTAAGTGGGGTTTAGGGGTTCAGTACACCGCATTTACAACAAGGAAACCACTGTACGGTATAGTCTATACCCGAATACCTCTGCACATGTTCAATGGAGATCAGGGTGTGGGGCTTCCTGCACTTCGGCTCTTTTCTCTTGGCACTCTCCCGCAGTCTCCCATCGACTGGAGCTTAGGGTTTACAGGAATTAAAGTTAATTAAAGTTTAAGGTCTAGGTTTTAGGCTTTCGGGTCTAGTCTAGTGCTTTTGATAGACCTAATTGTTCAGGGGCCCCTTGATTAGGATCCAGCTGTGCTTTCAATTCAAGCGCATTCTTGGGTCTATGATGCGGACCCCTTCGTTTCGGAAGCCACCTGTCTGAGAAGGATCCGGACA